TAACGACACATTGATCTCAAAATAAAGACCAATTTAAAATGTATTATGCCGATAATAAAGAAAAAGTAAAGGTGCGTATACAAACATATCATGAAATGAATAGAGATAGAATAAATGCAAATAAAAAAGTTCATTATAGACAGAACAAAACAAAATAAGTGCATAAAAGAAAAATTACTATAGAAAAAATGAAGAAAAATGTATCGCATATGAAAAAAATTATTATGCTATAAATAAAAATAAAATATTGAGAGATAGAAAAAATTATTACAACCACAATCGAGAAAAAATATTGATAAAATCTAAGCATAAGTCCGCTTTAAAAATAAAAAAGAAATATTTCATTATAAATATTAAGCACAATGCCAGAAAACTTGTTCAGCTGAAATATAATTGCGTGAAAAAAATTATGCCTTTTTTAAATGTAAATTCCATGACTGAAGCTAAAATTCGAGCCGAGCACATTATTACTCGAATGATTGCTATTAGAGATAGAATCATATCAGCAACTAAATAAAAGTTGAATACCTTGAAAAATAAAGTCAGTATTGATTTGAATCATTTGGGGTACATGAGTATTACTAACAATACCATTCGTAATGCCATCTCAGCTTTATGTGGAACGTCGCTACATACTTCCAAATCAGAATCATACTTTTTTGAGGCAATTTATGACTTTTGTAAAGGACTGCTTGTAGCTAATTCGAATAAAATGAATGTTATAGTTATGGATGAAAGTGGGTAGTCAATGAATATCATACCTCTACTGGAGGGTGCTAAAAATCCAAAAAGTTGGTTATGTAATCGGTACTGTAAAATGCCTGATATCCATACCGTAATAGAAATAAAAAATCTTTTAGAAAAACTAATCGAGTTAAGTTTTGCTAACGCTTATGAATTTTTGATAAACATTGATATATGTAGTGCTGAATCTGGTCATTTCGAGAAATTTGGTTATCCAATTGTTTGTTACATTGGAATTTTCTTATGCAGTTCAACATTTATTAAACTTTTTACAATAGAATGTCATTTTCCTCTTTTAAGAATAACAAGAGATCTGATTTACGGGTTGAAAAAATTTTACAGAAATATTGAACAGGTAAATGATGCTTTGAATAGTGGTGATATAGATAAACTTAATGGCATTATATCAAAGGATTCATCCACTGTTATTTTCTATACGAAAATAACATCATGTCATCCTGTATATAACTCATGATCAATGTTCAATAGATCAGTTTCTTTGCACAATTTTTTAAATGTTTCTTCCAAAGGTAAAGGTAAATGAAATACTTTCCCCACGAGTTTGTCACGGCGCGTGTAATGAGGTATATTTTTTTCTTAACGGTACTTTTTTTCTGTATGACTTGAAATGCTTTTGCACGCTGAATCAAAATTTTTTCATACATATTCAAATATTTTTGTTCATGCGGAATAGGTTTAAACCACAGATTATTTAGAAGACATATAGGAGGTATAGAATTATTTTTAAACTTTCCCAAACAAGTCTTGCAAATTTTACCATTGTTCAATATTTCCATTGAATTATTATTTTCATGATATTGAATCAATTTCTGCCAAACAGTATTTACGATTTCTAATAATTCACATGCAATATTTTGTGTTACGTGACGCTTCATTGTATTATTTTTTTTATTTTATTTATTTTGTCGAATAATATTTCGAACCCGAGATTTCCGTTCAGACATAGTATAGTCAGCAGTATTCGTGTGCGCGACTCGGTGGGAACGTGCGGCAGAGGCTGATTCACGCTGCGCCAGCATGCTGCGACGGCATGCTTCGGTCAGCGTGCTTAGCTAGGTAAGACGAGCCGATAGGAGAAGCGTAAACGTTTAAAGTATATGTGCGAGAGAGAGACGAAAAGCGAGGGACAAAAGATATATAACGAACCGGCGTAAACAACGAAATCAATCCTTAGTCAGTCAGAAGTCAGCGCTCAACTAAGAAGCCTGCAAGAGTTTGAGAATATTACAGTAAAGTTATATCGAAATATCGAGTATCGTTATTTCTAACGATTTTTCTTGCGTGAACAACAGTCATACCAGGACTCACTTTATATGCTATTGGAATACTATTGGAATATTATTGGATAAAGAAAATATATTGGACCAGTTTATTGAACGAGTTCGAAACCAGTGATTACCTATATCACAAATCAGACAATATTTTGGACCTAGACGACAGAGTGAGTACTTTTGGGCTCTATTTTCGATAAGCTGAAATTTCTTCCTTATTGTTTTTCTTTATTATCCCTCCCCCTCTGCGCTCTAATATTACTAAGCATAATCAAGGTTCCCCTTTCGGTGAATCCACGTGATTGCGTACCGGGACCAAGTGTGTAAACACCGCTGACCGCGTAAACTAAAATATTTATTTTAATAAATCGCGAACCACATAGTAGCGCGATATTATTATTAGAAGTGTTATCCGACGTATTAAAATATATATATATATAAACTTATCTAACATACCGGCGTAAGTTCATTTAAGTCAATCGGCGAAGCCCCCCTCCCTTTTTCCCGCCTGATTACTGCCGCCTGGCTCTCGCAAGGACGAACTTCGGATATTATCGGTGAAGACGCGATCCATTCGGTGACACGGTCGGGGTACCGTACTGAAGGTCTAGTCCACCCGAGTTAGGACCACTCGGAGCTAAAAACGGTCTAACACGCGCCAGTTTTGAAGAGACATCAAAACTGGCACGTAACAAATGGTAGCAGAGCGTGGTTGTGTGTGTGTGTGTGTGTGTATGTGTTGCACATTTATAATGAGTTCAAGCGCCAATGCAATATGAACAACGAGCGTCGTCGCTTTGACAATCAAAAATTTTTGAGCGCCGCGCCGAGCCGAGGTCGCCTGATATATCTTGTACTAGGCGTTGGTACCTGTGCAAAAAAGGAGATTGTTCTATGTCCATTTTTGCGCGGGTAGATGTACCTTGTGTTTCTTTTTATTTGTTTTATTTTTTTGTTAGCTAGACTGAGAAAGAGAGATTGCGCAATGCAAACAGAAAGACAATCGGGCATCCATGTCTCGGCACTAAAAGGCGATATTATGGATGTTACAATGTTGCGTACGCGCGCTCTACTGTCGCCTTTGTAATGTACTTGTCGCGTTAATGTGACTTTGTCTAGAGAAAAATGCACTAATTCAAAGTATAAACAATCACACTTAAGAAATATACGAAGGTTGATTTTTTCTCGAAGGCTGACTATCTTCGACGAAAAAAATGCATCGTTCTTTCGTCGCTGTTGTCGCACCACAATCAGTAGACACGCTTAAGAAATGATAAGCCAGCTATCAACTTCCGCACCGGTTTAAAGTTTCTTTCACACGCATACGCGAACAAAAGTACATTACAAATTTTTTTTCAATACCAGAAGCGCGCGCGCTTATTTATTTATTTTTTGTTCGCGACGCTCACGAAGACTCAGTCGCGAGCCGAGAGACTTTTTGTTTTCGTCGCATCTCGTGCTCTTATTCTACAAATACAATAGCATATCTCATCTTTCTTTCTTTCTTTTTGTCATAAAATTTCATAAACTTCTGCTCAATCCAATCAAATGTTTCTTCATTTTTTTCTTTTTTTATCCCTATAAACTAACGCGTCTGACAAAATCCTTCGATGCAATTGTCGACTCTTTAAATCATCACAGTCTAGCCCGCTACTCAATCCTCAAATTCTTTTTTTTTTCATTTATTTTCTAATTAATAAAGCATATTTAGCGTGTACATGTGTAAAGGGTATACATATGTAAATGCAAAAATGCGTGTTTGCGTGTCGTCGCTTCGTCGCAGACGTGCGTTCTTCCTTCTTCCTTTTCGCGTATTTTACGCACCTGCCTTATTTACGTTTGAGTTAGAGTTTTTTTTCATGGACTAGCGAGGCTAATCTGCGACGTTTTCTCAGTTCTTTCTCTAATAAATATACGCTGTTGTTCTTTTATTTCTTTTTTTTTACCATTTGCGACAAGATCGTGATATCGACGAGAGAGATTATATTCATTTGTAATAATTTGACGATTGAAAAAATAATTGTAGACGCACCGGAGGCTAAAAATCTTTGTTTTTATTTTTTTTTTGGAAGGGTGATTCGCTTCATTTTGTTAAAAAAAGTCTATTACAATTGTTACTTTCGTAGAATTTGTTATTTTTCATACAAAAAAGCATTTCTTTTATGTTTATTTACCGAGTATAAAAAGATTCATCGTCTGGTAACTTCGTTCAGCAAGAGACCGAGTTTATATGTTTAATCGTCGTGTTGTTCTTGTTTTTAGAAAAAATGTTTCTTACGTACAAAGGTAATTATAATTATATAATAATGATATTTTTCGAGAAAAAGTTTTTTAACCTCGCATCACATATTGTAAAACAGCGAATTTCCCCCCACATTCCCCGTTTCGTCCTTATAGCGACACAGGCTATTGCATTCGTTTAATATTGCAGTTATACACACTATGGCTTTTTTACTATAATGACTCGAATTAAAGGATAATTAAAAACATGAACATTTAATCAAATATCCGCCAGAGGGAGAGAACGGAAATTGATGAGAAGGAATAAAAAAAATCTTTTAGAAGTCTCTACGCGCGACAAAAAGAAAAGAATACTGTGAGAGTTTTTTGTATTTCCGCCTCGTTTTGTATGTTATTACAATACGTATGTGTGTACATAAATATATACACACATGTATACACACACATATATATATATATATATATATATATATATATACATATATATATACATATACGTGGCGATATAAAAAAATTGCAATGCATAAAATTAAACAAATAGAAGAAAAAAACTTACAATAGTACAAAAAAATAAAAACACAAGTTTTTTTAGAGCGGCAGTGAGAGAGGGAGAGAGAGAGCAGGAAGAAAAATCAAATTCTCTTCCTACTCTCTCCTCGTTACAAAAACTCCTTAATTATATATCATTTTTTATCTTTTTTCCTCATTTGATCGTTATGAAATCATAAAAAAAGGAGAAAAAAAAAAATAAAACACACATACATGTTTTTATCGAGCCCCTCCTCTCGATCTTAAGATTAATTAGAAAGCATCGAGTATATAAAATAGTCCACAACATACACTAAATATAAATTTTCGCTCTCTCTCTCTTTCTCTCTCCTCATAATCTGTCTCATTAAAAATCTCTCTCTCCTCCGATACACAATAGTTGGACCAAGTGAATCTCGGTCTAGCGTTGATCAACTTATTTTCCTTCCTTTTCTTTCTCCTTGTTCTCGTCGACTTCCTTGTCCTTCTCGACGTCTTTTTCTTCCTTGTCGGCTTTTTCCTTATCACCTTCTTTTTCTTCCTTGGACTCCTTGGTCTCTTTAGCATCTTCCTTGCCTTCCTTCTCTTCTGTCTTCTCGGGTTTCGGCAGATGCGTGTTCATGTCGAGGGTCGAGCAAATCTCTTCCCAGTCGGGGAAGCAACGTTCCTTCATCCTGGAGCAGTGGCCGACCAAGTTTGCGCAATTATCTTGCATATAATCGCGGAGAGCGAACGACACCTCCTTGTCGATGTACAAGATCTGCGCAAGGTTGGCGAACGCGACAACGTCCAGCATAGTTGGCTCGTCGCCGAAGAAGAACGGCTTGTCGGCGAGCATGTCGCAGAGCACCTTGAGGTCGTCGCAGCCGAACTGAAGCACCTCCTCGGGCGTGTGCACGCCCATGCCCTGGGCCTTGACCTTCTTGGCACCCTTGCGTCCAAAAGTGAACTTGAAGAAGAAGTTTAGGATGCTGTTCGGGATGCGAGTGCCAAGGGTGTGCTGGAGATTGACCTTGTAGCCCTTGAGTATGAGGTCGAGGTTCTTGGTGCGCCAACACGCGACCATCCAGACCAGGTGGTTCTCGATCATCGATATCGTCGCGTGAGATATGGACTTCTGCTCGGTGCTCAGACATGCGTCGATGTCCTTGCCGAACTTCTGTCCCAGCTCGCTTGTTGTCGGCGATCTCCTCGCCGTTCAGCTCGACGAACGGCAAGTTGCCCTTCTTCGAGCGGAACTTCATCTTGTGGTCTACGTTCTCGAACTTGATGCCGTTGAGTCATCAAAACTGGCACGTAACATTTTGTTTGTAATTTTTAACTGGTATTGGCCTTTTTTTGACATAGTCGTTCGCAGGAAACACACGCAGTCACAGGAAGATCTTCTAATATTTTTTAATAAATTTTGATACCCTCATGAAGTTTCTGTAAAATTTCATTTTCGTTCAACGAGATTTCATCATTATTTTCGTATAGAAAATAACAGTGGATGAATCCTTTGATATAATGCCATTAAGTTTATCTATATCACCACTATTCAAAGCATCATTTACCTGTTCAATATTTCTGTAAAATTTTTTCAACCCGTAAATCAGATCTCTTGTTATTCTTAAAAGAGGAAAATGACATTCTATTGTAAAAAGTTTAATAAATGTTGAACTGCATAAGAAAATTCCAATGTAACAAACAATTGGATAACCAAATTTCTCGAAATGACCAGATTCAGCACTACATATATCAATGTTTATCAAAAATTCATAAGCGTTAGCAAAACTTAACTCGATTAGTTTTTCTAAAAGATTTTTTATTTCTATTACGGTATGGATATCAGGCATTTTACAGTACCGATTACATAACCAACTTTTTGGATTTTTAGCACCCTCCAGTAGAGGTATGATATTCATTGACTACCCACTTTCATCCATAACTATAACATTCATTTTATTCGAATTAGCTACAAGCAGTCCTTTACAAAAGTCATAAATTGCCTCAAAAAAGTATGATTCTGATTTGGAAGTATGTAGCGACGTTCCACATAAAGCTGAGATGGCATTACGAATGGTATTGTTAGTAATACTCATGTACCCCAAATGATTCAAATCAATACTGACTTTATTTTTCAAGGTATTCAACTTTTATTTAGTTGCTGATATGATTCTATCTCTAATAGCAATCATTCGAGTAATAATGTGCTCGGCTCGAATTTTAGCTTCAGTCATGGAATTTACATTTAAAAAAGGCATAATTTTTTTCACGCAATTATATTTCAGCTGAACAAGTTTTCTGGCATTGTGCTTAATATTTATAATGAAATATTTCTTTTTTATTTTTAAAGCGGACTTATGCTTAGATTTTATCAATATTTTTTCTCGATTGTGGTTGTAATAATTTTTTCTATCTCTCAATATTTTATTTTTATTTATAGCATAATAATTTTTTTCATATGCGATACATTTTTCTTCATTTTTTCTATAGTAATTTTTCTTTTATGCACTTATTTTGTTTTGTTCTGTCTATAATGAACTTTTTTATTTGCATTTATTCTATCTCTATTCATTTCATGATATGTTTGTATACGCACCTTTACTTTTTCTTTATTATCGGCATAATACATTTTAAATTGGTCTTTATTTTGAGATCAATGTGTCGTTACTTGCATATTCACTCGTTTGGATGGAATGGTCAAGAACTCTCTATTTATTGAATCTAAGTTTCTTTTACGAGATTGACTTTGAAATACAATGTTATCATCTGAATCTACAGACTGTAGAAAAAGAACATAAACATTTGTTACGTAGTCTGGGGGAGATATTTCTTCAACATTTGAATCGTTGACCAAAAACCAGCGATTATGTTGTCGTAAAATATTAAAGTAAAACTACATACTCTTTATTGTTAATACGAACATATTTTCCAATATCATGAAGGATGAAATTATTTATTTTGATAACTTCTGTTCCACGTAATGCAAACAGTTGTAATTATATCACTACAATTTGATTATTAGTAGTAAAATTTGTCGACTCGTAAAAAAATCCCTTTTTACAAAAGGTGCATAGAACATCAGTAGCTACAGAGTTATTCAAATTTATGTTGATTAAATCTTGTAGCGTAAAAGCTACATTATTTTCTGGTACAAGAGTAAAATATTATTATTGTACATTTTGAAATATTTCACTTGATTGCATTCTTCATTAATTTTTTTAAAAGATGGTCGGAGATTATGCTGAATTAAAGGCCCTGAACTCCAGATTTGCTAAGAAGATGACTTATGAATTCTGGTACGTCTTGTTGAACTGGTTCTCGATACAAAACGTTAACGAAATTTCTAAAACCTATCACGTCTACGTTAACAGTAACATTGTCACATTTTAACTTATACTGTGCCATTATTACAGACAATTTTTCCTTAATGTTATTATTCAGGTTTCTTCTGATTGCTGAGCAATTTAATAAACTTTTTATTGATGCATTTGCATAACAAGAAACCATGTCGTGATTAGGCAAACTGACGATTTTCCATAAAGAATTGTACGAATTTGAATTACTTTCTAATAGCATTTGATTATTATATTTATTTTTATTATCATTCCTTTCTGCATTGAGTTCGACATGATAATGTTCTGTTTCATTGTGGTGTCTCTTATTAGCAATGACCGAATTAATAAAGTTACATAAATTGTCTTTATCGTATGTTGAATGAATGTACGTGAAAGGAAAAAGTATCAAATTATGATTGTGAAACATATTAAAAAAATGACTACTCATTTTTTCATAATCATAATTTATTTTTGAAGGATTTGGTCCGAAAAATCATATGTGGCAAATGCTATAGCTAAAATACCACAATCATTATCATTTCTTTGAAATAGCACTCTTTCAAAAATAAGCTTCTCTCTATCTATCTTTCTATTTTTAATTAAATAAGTAAATAATTGATTTAAGAATTGATCATGGTAAATATGTAATTGATTTAAATTATACAAGTCATAAATACGAATGTAATGCGTATCATAATAACGCACTATCAGTGACCACCTACGCAGCCCTTACGTAAATCATTACAACTGTGTAATATTTGTACATGTACTGAGTCGCACGGAATTGGTTTAAACCATTGAAGACTTAGGGCTTGCATGATTTTTTGGAGAGATAGTGTACTGCTAGGTTGAATAATAGTACAAGATTTCTCAGAATGTACACGTAAAATAATATGAAATAGATCAATATGGCTATCTTTCAATTTTAACCCTCTAAAATTAATTTCTTGTCATCTTCACTAATTTTAAACTGATATATTACATTACGATTATTACGATTAGCCATAATACTCTAGTTTTATATAAAATTTAGATATATAATTGAAGGTATTGTATTATAATATGTGACGGGAGAGGGCAGGGGAAAAATAATTTATTACAATTTTTCGCGGCCTCAACTGCCACCAGCGGCGCAGTCAGCCGATAATTGCAGCTTTATTATTATTGATTTATCGTTGGGCGCCAGCTACCGTCCTCGCGTTAGGAGGGCGGGTAGCGCTGCAGATCAGCTGGGTGCTGGTCGCTGTGATTCGGGCGGTCCCGTTGTTTCCTCCGCACGCTGGTTTCGTTGGCTACCTATTGGATGAAAAAAAAGGGAGCGTGAAGTTCTAATCAACGTACGAAGAAAATCAAGGGGGGGGGGGCAATCACCCACGGCTCAACGACGCAACAACGGCTAATCAATATGTCGGGGCAAGCGCTCTTGACTCAGCAGCGGGTAATCGGAGCGGCGTCTCAAGATGCCACGTCAACGATCCAGGGTAGTAAGAAGGTTCGGATCAACCGGTCACATAGACTGAAACGGCGCCGAGGCGTCGACGTGTTACGTGGTTTTGTACACCCGATCGCGATAGCTACGGGGGATATGGAAGAGTCGAACGAAGTTCAGTCAATAACAATAAGAATTTAAGCTACAATTCATTTATTGATAAATAAAGTTCAAGTTCCCTGAGTCAGCCCAAGGTCGGTCGTATCTCAGGTTTAATCGAAAACAGGGGGAAAGAGGGGGGAAAATGCTATTGGTATCCGGTAATCGCGTTCTTACGTAATTCGGTTTCTTTCTATGCTCAATATAAAATGACTATTTGCGGCGGTCTGTCTCGTCTAAATTTTCCTAAAAACGCGGATGGAGCACCGCGACGCGATTGCAATAGAGCAGAGGTCAGGTGGCATGGGCGAATGCACGTGCGATTACGAGGATTGCGTGGCGGTCAGGCGATATTCCATCGATGCGCGAATATTTAACGATAACACAAAAGTATCGGCAGCAATCTAATACATATGCGGGGAACTCGGCGATCGCGCGAAGGTCAAACGGTACTTCTGTTTACGCGAGGGCTTACGCGATCACACAAAGAAACTGGGCGGCAATCTAATGCGTGCGCGAGGAATTCGTCGGTCACGCGAAGGTCAGATGGCACTTTCGTTGATGCGGGAAAACTCAATTGATCGTACAAAGAAAATTCGGTGGCAATCTAATGCGCGCGCGAGGAATTCGTCTATCGCGCGAAGGTCAGACGGCACTCTTTTGATGGGCGAAAACTCAATTGATCGCACAAAGAAAATTCGCGGCAATCTAACACGCGCGCGAGGAATTCGTCGGTCGCACGATGGTCAGGCGGTACTCTCGTTAATACACGAAGGTCTAGAACGAATTGCACAAATAATACAGGCAGCAGACTAACGTGCGCGAGGAATACGTCGGTTGCGCGAAGATCGGACGGCACTCCCGTTAATGCACGAAGTCTAAGCGATCGCGTGTAATAAAAGAAAAAATGAGAGAGGGAAGTACTCACTCTTTCACTTTAACGCTGCTGCCAGCTTTGAGTCTATTACTGCTGCTGTATATCTGCTCTGCTGCTGCTGAATATCTGTTCTGCTGCTGCTGAATATCTGATCTGCTGCTGCTGTATATGTCATTTGTTCTGCACTTTCACTCACGTATTTTTTCTGGACTTCCGCCCGGCTCCAGAGTCTGGCGGCTACTCGGCTACTGCGCTACTACTGCCGCGGCTTTTCGCGGCATCGCGTCGCTTCTCCTCGTTTACTTTCCCTTACAGTCGCGGGATTTTATCTTATTGGTCAATTTTATTGCTAAGTCGATCATTAGCGCCGTCTATTTTATTATTTCGGCCCACGCAATTTTACGACTGATCGTTTTTTGGCGCCTAATTTTCCTATTTGTTAGTCAGATAGCGTCGGTTTTGTCCTATTTGTTAACTCACCCCTATCCT